AATTACTGACGATTTTCATCAATTATAACCGTAACAGATTTGTTGGTATACTTTTATTTTTATTATTATACACTGACATTTCATTTATTTTTATTCAATTGTATACTCAAATGCTCATTCATGTTCAATTTGAACTTTGCCTCTTGTAGCTAATCTCAAGTCCGGATAAAAGCAGAATGTTTTTACAACTCCACAATTCTTTCAACGAAATGTAAATTTTCACATTTACAATTTCCTTATTAATTAACGTGTGCATTATACTTCGAGAAGTGAAAGTGCAATTGCAAGTTCAAATTAAAAATAAAAGACGAGCGCAAGCTAGCTCGCTTGGTGGGTCAAGCCGAGCATCCAGCCCAGTCCATTTAACATTGTTTATCCTTATATCGTATCAATATTTGGGGGTCAAAGGATTAGGTTCTTCACCAGAATAATGAAATCGAGCTGAAACTCAAAGAAAAGCATAATTTAAAATGCCAACCAAATGTTATTCCGAGAACAATTTAAAATACAATTTTGATCTCAAGATTCATTACTAGCAAGCTCAACTCAGAATTAAGGATCTATCAGTTTGATACTTACGGATAAACAGAAGAACCAGATACAGCTAATGAACAAATGCTTTAAGTTGTTCATGGGAGCACATAAACATAAGCTTATACCTTTTCCTTCACGTGGCGAGAATCAGAACATTAAACACATTTCTGATAGTCGAAGCCATTTAATCTTCTAACGATCCATTCACATTAACGTGATTATAAGAACTTACTTGAAGCCATGCTATGACGATGCTCGGATTTCTTTCGATGCCAACTCTCTTAGGACGTAATTAATAATCTGATCTCTACCTAATCATTTTTTCCGTTGAGGCAACCTTTGGACCACTACCTGCAATGAGAAAAACTGAAATTAATGTTGCTCCAGTTTTTCAAGAATTGGTAGTTAAACTGTTGGCCGACACTGTCGACAACAAAAGCCATAAATACGAGCCGATGTCCTCATGTAGACCTATAAAGGATGTTTGGTAGAGTTTATTAGGTAGTTATAAGTTGGCATTCTATAGTCATGTACCTACATGGACACGTGTCCGACACGACACATGTATGATACACCGACATCCGATTTTTTAAAAAAGTACTCACTTAACACGTCGCCGACATGTTGATTAAATTCTTTAAAATTCTTTATTTATAGAGTATAAATTTAGTTTTATAATTGTTATTAATTTTCTTGTTGAAATCTTTTAAAATATAAGTACTTATTTGTTATTTAATAATAATTTTAGTTTCAAAATATATAATATTTCTGATAAAGAGAGAAATATGACTATAGTAGAGTGTTCGAGGAGTATCGATATCCAACATGTGTCGAACATGAATATGCTGCCCTAATTGAACTGTTCGTACTACAGAGGGCACAATACTTGAGATCGTAAAAATGTCAAATAATATAGCTGTAACCAACGTACCTTTCCGGAATTTTCTTTATTTCCAACTATAGTTTGGCAAGCTAACCTCCAAGACTCTGGTTTCTGCACAAAGCAATTTTCATTGACATTAAGAAATTACAGTGTCTATACCGGTGCAACTCTCGACATACAAAGCATTGGAATTTAGACAAAGCTTATGTCTGGCTTTCATCATCTAATGTTATTACCACCTTATAATTTGAAGACGAATTTTAGTGTAACATTGAACGGTAGTATCATGTTAAGAAAACAAACACGAAGTAACATAAGATTAGGAAACTTGTATCCAAACTTAAGAGAATATGAGAGAAGGGTGTCGGGAGCCATGCCTTTTTTAAATATCTGAGTTCTGTGTTTGTTCTCTCATTTAGGAGATCCTTTCCATCGATGATCTGAAAGAGAGAAAATGATATGCTTACAAGATGATATAAAACTTAATACGGGTAAAACATCTATGAGATGTTTGGTGACTACATCAATTCTCGTTTAAAATTACTTTCAGCCACCAGCCACTACCAACCCCTGCCCCGGCCAAAATAAGGGAAAAATATAATAACGCCTTTTGATAGTCTTGGTAGACATAAAAACCCTGACCTAAAGTGGCACGCACAAGAATTTATTGCATTATTCTCCCTCTTTGTGCCAAATATATAAAGCCATTTATAACATTTTGTAGGAGCTCTGAGTTAGTAAACACTATGAAAGCCATACCTCTGTAAGTTTTAGAGGCAAACAGAGTGGAAACAAAGCTATTTATTACCTCTACAATACACGTGCCGCAGCTTCCACCGCCTCCACAATTCATTACCTTCCCCTATCAAACAGAAAAAAGCTCGCATTTAAGATAGGATAAAATGGATATAAGAAACGAATGAGGGAATTATTGGAACTCAGGTTGAAGGGATTCAATCTTCGACAAAAATTTCCAGCATCTCAACAATATTTCAACGATTATTACTACACCATTTTGACTTTTTACATATAAACTTTGTCAGTCCCTCTAAATTACTAGTATGGACCTATTTTAGGAGGTACAGACCATCTAGCAAAAGAAACAGGTAATCGGACAGAATCTTGTATGTATTTATATAAAATTTGAGCTGGGATTTAAGTAAGAACTTACGTCCAGACCTTAGGAGAAAGAAATGCATGATGAAGCACATTATGGATATACTGTTCAATCCATAATCCTTTTTTCACTGGGGCTTTAAGTTTTCCTATATTTGGCAAGGATCGGAGCCTATTCCGTTCCACCTTTCTCTACAAGTTTTAGTCAAGTGTTTATTTTCAGATGAATATCATATTAGTAACCTACATCTACATCTTACAAATAAGAAGCCAAATATTTATACATTTAAAGATTTTTATTCACTTTGTCTACCATTATATGCAAATAATAGTTTCGGTCGATCACTAGCCACCGTACTTTTCTTTATTAAGACAGAAAACAGGACAGTAATATTGACACAGGATTCACAGTTAATTAGCATCATAGGTCGGCTCTCAACTCAAATGCAAAAATGGTGCATATTGAAACTAAGGTGCTAGAGGTCAATCCACACTTCTATTTATAGATTTAATATTCCATCATGAGAATGAACAAAAACTGGGTGGTATTCAATATCACAAAGATCACTTGATGTTCTTTATTTATTTATTTATTTCTCCGGCAAAATTATCGATTCCCGACAATAGTTGACATATTGCAGAATGACCCAATATGGAATTTGCAAGCTAGGAAAAATATAAAAACAGACCAATGTGCTAATTAAACTTACATATGCTGCATAGAGCTCAATCTTGTTATCCAACATGATGTTCCTAAGCAGCTTCTCTCCACTTATGGCTTTAGTTCTATCAACAGGGGGTTTCCCATCTGCACCTGGTTTAGGCTACCACAGACAGAGAAAATACAAGAATAAAATAAATAAATATTTCACTTACTTTGCATCGAAGACTATAGTTAAATAAATAAATGTCTCATCTTTGCAACAAATTTAGCTTTTAGACTAGGCGATTAGAATGTATTCAACTATCATCGTTGCCTATTTATCAACAATGTGTACAATAAAAAATGAATTTGAATGGGCGGCCTACAAGTAAAGAGCATGTTGAAGATTAAATTTAAATAGTAAATGCATTCTCCATTTAACATGTCAAGCTTTTAGATGGAGTGAACTATGAATCTAGATGGTTGATTATTTTATTTGGATAAAATTACATTTTTTGGTTAAAGAGAGCTTAAAAAAGTAGTATTTGATAGTAGGAATTTCCTTCCCACATACAATTTATTAAGGATAAGCTAGAAAATAACTAGAAGATTGAAGATAATAACCCTAAAAGCCTATCATCACCTTATCAAAGCTCATCATCACTTGATAAGAATCGATCACATCAACAACATCTAGATTAGAGTCTGTATAACTTTGTATTGTTACCTTTATCACTTTGTATAGTTATCATTGTAATGATAAATATGTACCATGTAACGCAATTCATTTCACATCAATCATTATTTGATTTATAGAGAATTTTCCTCTTTTTGGTATCAGCCCAGTCTAAACTCTCACGAGTGTCTTCCCTATAATTTTTTTCTTCCTCCTCCCATCTATCTCCTCTCTCCTTTTATTTCCCATCCTCTTGCATGGCTAACAACACCGCCGTTAGCACCTCCTCTGTCTTATTCGATCCAATCTCGTGGGTTAGCCTTTTTGCTTACACACCTACCCCTTCACCCTCTTCATCATATTCTTATACATCCCTATCAAATCTCATAGTCACCAGTCCACAGTCTCTATACAAACCCTCTCTTTCCCACAGGTTCGTGCCCCCCAGCCGTAGAAGCCTCACGCTAAGCTACACTATTTCAGCAGTCCACTTCCTCCAAGAATTGCATCCTCTTCTCCATCGTTCATCTCCAGTCTCTTCACCCGCCCAAACTCTATTACCATCAATGATATCAACACTGAAATTCCCGCTTTCCAGAGTCTATCCCCTCTAACATGAGTCTCAATGTGCATCCTATGGTCAAACAGTCTTAAGAATAATTTATACAAACTAAAACAGTTAAAATTTACTACCATTACTCATCCATTGCCTGACTCTATTGATCTTTCTCGTGTTTCCTAGTTATTAAGCTTTCTCATTGGCATCATGCCATATCCGATGTGCTTAACGCTCTTCTTCATAATAGCACATGGGAACTAGTTCCTCTTGATCCTAGAGAAAATGTCGTCCACTGTAAATGGGTATTATCTATCAAATGGGATCTTGATGGTTCCATTTCTCACCACAAGGCATGCCTTGTAGCCAAAGGGTTTGCATCAATGACCCGTTGTTGATTTCACTGACACCTTTAACTCTATTGTCAAGCCTACCACCATTCGCCTTATTCTTACCAATGCCCTAGAAGATTATTAGCCCATTAAATAGCTTGATGTAAATAATGCCTTCTTTCATAGGTCTTTAGGTCTTAGAATGAAGATGTTATAAATAACGAAGAAAATACCAGATAATCCTGATACCAATTTGTTGTGATAATAGGCAAGAAAATAATATGACACAATATGAAGTAATTGATCACAAACACAAGAACAAAATAATTGGCAAAGGAATTGAGATTTCACTAAAATATGGAGAAAGAATTAAGTAACTTTGTGCTTCTTATTTGTCTAACTTATAATGAGGTTAAAAAACCTACCTAAATTGTAGAGAAAGCCAAATATATATAGGGAACAATCCAAACCCTAGAAGTAGAGTTGTAGAGGGAATGGAATGACCATATATTGTCCTCTTAAAGTCCAACACAAATTCCAACTCCCAATTGTGCTTCCAATTAGAATTTCAACTAGAATTTACCAAATAAACTTCGAATAGGATTCCAAATAAAATTCTTCTTAAGTTGATTTTAATTAGAATTCTCAACTATCTTCTAAATAGAATTTGGGTCACACCAAAATTTTAACAAACTCTATATTAACACGAATTCCAGTGCAATGAGTAAACTTGAAAGATTCTCTATCTGGAGACAAAATCCACTGCAAGGAATAAATTTCAACTCTCTATAACAAAAACATAAACGAACTTCTCCATCAAAATTTTCAACTTGAAAATATTCTCCACGTCTACCACAAAATCCAAATAGGTTCAAACTCAAAAACTGAGTAATCAAAATTCCAAGAACACCCATGGACACCAAAGTTGCTCGAATGACGAGCAACAAAATCAAACGTGATTAACAATCACCAAATAAAGCTGAAACAAGAACTCTAATAGAAATATAGAATCACCATGAAGTGCTTCAACGGAAGGAATCTTTGCTAGGATCATTACCTTCAACCACAAACGAAACAGAATTAACTAAATTAGCATCTTTGTATCTATGTGGAGGCATATTCTCAAAAACGGGGTTGTTTATAAAAATTGAATATAATGGCACCAATGATAATCGTGGTAAAGCAGAATTATTCATAACTTTCGAACTTGATATTAAACGTATTCATCAAAGTAGACCCCAAACAAAATTTTGATAGTACTGAACTAAACTCATAATCCACCTGAGTCCTCAAACTATGCCGATCCATCAAAAATTTTGTAGAGCTTTGCAAGACATATAATTGAGACTTTTTCTGTCCCTGCAACACAATATGACTCTACAAACTGTCAAGACTCAACATTCTCTAATGAATTTGTACCATTTTAAGTCAAGAGTACTTAAGGAGATAATATTTTTCTTCGAATTGGGACATAACGCACTGCATCAAGTGTTCTGACACTTCCATTAATCAACTTAATTTTGAACCTTCCTATACCAGCTATCCAACAAAGCGTATTATTACCAATCATAACACATTTTGAAATTTCTTCATATGTTGTAAACAAATCCCGATTGGGATCCATGAAAAGTGAAGGTCGTATAAAAAATCCAATCCTTTTCATGTTTGGAATCATAGACAAAAATAAGTAAAAGTTCTATCACTATGAGACGTTTCTGTAACAATGGCTTCACCTGAAGTATCTAATTACTTTTTCTTTGAAAAGTTACAGCCAAATTTTCTCTATTCTACAACTTATAAAAATCCTTAATTAAGTGCCTGAATTCATGCAAAAAATTTTGAAGTTAAGACCTTAATTTACCCCTTGCACAACCACCATCAAGAACACGGCCATCTCCAGAATCTCAATAATATACTTCATCTTCTCTTTTAAAAATAAAGCGTCATAAGCTTCTTCAATGGTGAGAGTATCACGATTATATATAAACCCGCGTCTCTAAACAACAAGTATGGAGTGGACCAAAAACACAACAAAATCAATCCCATATAAGCGAGCACTGATCGCATCCTAATATGCAACAACGACAATCTTGTATTGCGATCCAATAGGCGAATATCAAACTTCATGGTTGACATCCCAAAATCAAAATCTCCCTATGAATAAAACCTTAGCTTTGATACCAGTTTGTTATAAACGACGAAGAAAATATTGAATAATTTTGATATTAATTTGTTGTGACAATACACAAGAAAATAATATAACACGATATGAAGTAATTGATCACAAAACTCAAGAACAAAATAATTAGCAGAGGAATTGAGATTTTACTAAAATATAGAGAAATAATTACAATGATTTTGTGTTTTTTATTTGTCTAACTTGTAATGAGATTAAACAACCTATCTAAATTGTAGAAAATAGCCAAATTTATATATAAGGAACAATCCAATCCCTAGAAGTAGGGTTGTAGATGGAGTAGGATGCCCATATCTTATCTTTTTCAAGTCCAACACAAATTCTAACTCCCAATTAGGCTTCCAAGTGGAATTTCAACTAAAATTTTCCAAATTGATTTCGAATACGATTGCAAAATAGCATTCTAAATATAATTCTTCGTAAGTCGACTTTAATTAGAATTCAGGTCACACCAAAATTCTAACTGAAAATGTAAATATGAGTCAACTTCCAGGGTTCATTGACAATCAAGATTCCATTAATATTTGCTTCCTTAAGAAACCAATATACGATCTTGAACAAGCACCGCATGCCTAGTATAATGAACTCGAGCTTTCTTTGTACATATGATTTTTCCAATGACCACATTGATTCATCTTTTTTCCTTCATTTCACTCCTATCACCATCTACTTTTTTGGTGTATGTCCATGTTCTTGTTACTGGAAATAACCTTACCACATTCACAATATTTGTTAGCGTATTATCTCAACATTTCTCTTTCAAGGACATCAGCTCCTTTGCACTACTTCCTTGGTATATAAGTTATTCTTTCTTTCCCTGGTATCCTTCTTACTTAGCATAAGTAAATACGAAACATTCTTTATCTTACAAATATGACAGGAGTAAAACTTATCACCCCTAACGTTAATTTCTCAATCCCTTAGCCCAAACGATGGTTCATCTAGAACTGACACCTCTGCATTTAGACAAACCTTTGGTGCCCTTCAACATTTATCCCTTATACGTCCTAGATGTTTCCTCAGCTGTAACAAATTGTATCAATTCATGCATCTTCCTCTGGAGATACATTAGACTGCCGTCAAACGAATTCTTAATTAATTAAAACATAACATTCACCATGGTCTTCTTCTTCGTAAGAATAGTGAACTTCACCTAACTGCTTTCACTGATGCAAACTAAGTGGGTAAATTAGATGATCGCTCCTTAACTTCTGCTTATATCCTATTTCTTGGTGCTTTAAAAGGCAAAAATGAGTTGCTCACTCCTCTACCAAAATTGGACACCGTGCTCTTACCTCTTGCTTTGTTGAGGTTCTATGGATTAAAAATCTCTTGTACGTAAAGTTCATGTTTCACTCCTGCATCGCTCAACTATCTTTCGTGCCAATATCAGAGCTATATGCATCATTGTAAATCATGTATCTTATGTCCGCGTGAAACGCATCGTCATTTATTATCACTTTGTTTGCGATCATGTTTTAAAAGGGTCGTTTATGGTCTCGTACATTTCTTCCAAATGATCAGCTGGCGACCTATTTAGCAAGTCTCTCTCGACTGACAAGCTACTAATAATACACTGTCCAATATCGGAATCTCCAATGGAGCTCCATCTTACAAAGGCCAATTAGGGATAAGCTAGAAAATAACAACGAAACTGAAGATAACAACCCTAAAAGCTTATTACCACCTTATAAAGCTCATCACCAACTAATAATGATTGATCACCTCACAACATCTAGATTAGAGTCCTTTTCACTTTGTATTGTTATCTTTGTCACTTTTTATAGTTATCATCTCATTACCAACTATAAATATGTACCATGTAACACAATTCATTTCATATCAATGAATATTTAATTCATAGTAACTTTTCCTCTACAATTCCTCTCCTGCAAAATCAAATTATTGCAAGAAATTAAGCCACTGTTTGAGCCTTATTTTTTGAGAATAAATTTTGTAAGAGAATGTAAATTAAAAGGTAGGAAAAAGTTATGGAGTTATGTGCAAAATTATTTTATCGAAAGAATATGTGATTGAAAATGAATTAGGGGAAAAACGAGTTTTAAAGAATGGAGTGAACAGGGGCTTAATGCCGAAGACCGTCCATTTTCATACCACTAGATTAAGATCATTTTAGGAAGCTAGGAAGTATTTTAACATTTAAACAATGGTATTTATATTCAGACCGCAATTTTGTTTGTTGCACCAAAACTTAATTGCAATGAAGGTCCTGGTGAGGGCATAAAAGGATGCACTTAGTCAAAGTACACTAAAAAAATATTTTGGCCAATCATCATCACAGACCAAATGTGCTAATTAGTGAAATTCACCAAAAAAAAAAAAGGTGGGGATATAAGTGCGATAATAAACTAGGAACTTTAGAGCAATTAAAAAATAATGGAACAAAAGAAAATTTAGGTAAACTATAAAAAAAGCTTAAACAAACAACCAAATAACAACACTTTCAAGTACCCTGTTCGATGCTTATTATTTAAAAACTCTTTTTTCAACATACTTATTCTCAACCACAAATTCATGTGATAAAATATTTGACACTTGAACTCAAAACTTTTCTCAACTCCTTAATCACAAATTCTCCTTAAAATCACTGTTCAAAACATCATTTTTCCCAATCAATGACCGTTTAAATTAAGAAATAAATAAAGTTTATAATAACCAACAAGAAAATTGGGGAAAGAAATAAATGCATACCCCTATAAATTCTAACTCGATCTCAGGTTTTTCCACGGGTGATGTGGCGGTGGTTTCCGGCGAAGTGGTGGCAAATGAGATGGATATGGGTGGTTTTCTGGGAAGAAAAGTGGCCGGTTTGCGGTGGTTCACGGCGATGGTGCTCGTGGAGAATTCTAGTGGCCGGAGTGAAAAGTTCATTGCAGCCATACTGCATAAGAGAAACAAATGCAAACACGTAGACACGCAGTACTTTGCTGGGCCACACTCTAATCTTTAACAATAATACGTTGGACTTGTGGCTTGAGAGGTTTTCTTGTTTATTTATAAATGTGGACGAAAAATGGATTTCCAAAATGATGTATTGAAAATCATTTTTTTGTGTACATAAAAATCAAGATTGGTTAATTTAGACGATAGACCAACGTAAGAATAATAATTTATTTTCTTCGAACTTATATCACAAGAAATTAAGTAATCTATCAATTCTAAAGCAAGTTAATAGTTCTGTAATTGTGTCATTGCTCTAAATTTTGAGAGAGAAAAAAACTCGTATCGATTAAACAGCTAATAGGAATTCAATGGAACAACAAGAACTATGCAACAACTACCAAAGTCTTAAGCAAAAAATTAGTTTTACAAGAGGGCATCAAATACACTTAAGTGGATGTATCGAAAAAATTTCGTTAGCATAACTTGAAGTTGCAGATGGCATAGAGTAATACTATTATCAATACCTTTATCACTAATTTAAATGACAATAGGATTTCTGATTGATTGCCTAATGAAGTTGAGATCCATTTTAAAGCATCGTCAATACATTTTGTGGATTGTTATCTAGGTGATACGCAAGTCAAAAGACTTTTGATCTACACTAAATAGGTTTTATTAGTTAAATAATGCTTATGTAGCCATAGTGATCTTAGAATATAACCAGTTTATGTGTCAAACTGTGATAGGTCAATTAAATATACCACATGTCCTTGCATTTGAAAAAAGAACATTGCTATGTGTACATAGC